TCTTGTTATTCTAGTTTGCCTTCAGAAGTTGGGAGTGGCTTCATCACGGGAGGCTTTTCAGAAGAGACTGGACAGCCCCTGTACCTGTCAAACGGCGCAGGGTCTCTTGCTTGAGTAAAAGGGGTCGGACTAGACGCCCTCCAAGGCCCCCTTCCACGCGCGCCGTCCACCGGGGCCAGGCGAGCCAGAGCTCCGGAGGGGAGGGGAGGGCAGGAAGCAGAGGCAGGCAGGCAGACTTGGGTCACCCTCACCCACCCCCTCGCCCCCTCCCCACCAGCGCTGCCTGCCTCCCGGACGCGGGGAAGGGGAAGCCGGCGGGGGAGGGAAGGGAAGGGAAGGGAAGGAGGCGGCTGGGACTCCTCCAGCTGCGCGCAACCGGACGGGCAAGCGGGAGAGGCGGCCCGCCCAAGGCAAGCAGGCGCCGCCGCTGCGCTCAGCGCCCGTTTTTCCCCTCCGAGGCCAAAGGAGCAACGCGGCCAGTCCCGGGTCCCCAAAGCCCCGCACCCCAATTCCCTTCCCCTCCAATCCCGGGGCTCACCTTGCTCCGGATCTGCCCCGAGGTGGAGACTTTGCGGATGAGTTTCTGCGGTCCTTCGGGCTCCCCTTCGCTGTCCGACGACTCTTCGGCCGGGGCGGCGGCGACGGCGGCGGAGCCCCCGGGATCCCCCGGCGGCTGTTCCCGGAGACCGGCGCCGCTCAGGCCCGCCTCGACCCCGGCCATCTTCCCTCCGCCGTCGGCCGGCCGAGGCGCCGGAGACCCAGCCCGGGCACGGGAAGCGGCGGCGGGGCAGGAGCGCGTCAAGGCGGCGGCGTCCGACGGGCGCAACAGCCGCTCCCTGCTTCTCCTCCTCTTTTTTCTCCTCCTCCTCCTTCCTCCTCCCTCTCTTCCTCCTCCTCCTCTTCTTTTTCTCCTCCTCCTTCCTCCTTCCTCTCTTTTTTCTCCTCCTCCTCCTTCCTCCTTCCTCCCTCCCTCTCTCTTTTCTTCTCCTCCTTCTTCCTCTTCCCTCTCTTTTTTCTCCTCCTCCTCCTTCTTCCTCCTCTTTCTTCCTCCTCCCTCTCTTTCCCTCCTCCTCCTCCCTCTCTTTTTCTTCTCCTCTTCCCTCTCTTTTTCTTCTGCTCCTTCCTCCCTCCCTCTCTCTTTTCTTCTCCTTCTCCTCCTCCTTCCTCTCTTTTTTCTCCTCCTCCTCCTCCTCCTCTTCTTCCTCCTCCTCTTCCTCCTCCTCCTTCCTCCTCCGCCCGGGCTCTTTGCTCTTCCCTGGGCGGAGATGGAGGCGGTGGAGGGGGGATCAAAGCCGAGGAGGAGCGGCCGCCACCGCCAGGCTCCAACCCGGCCCCGCCTCGGCTTCCAACGACCGCCTCTGCCGGCTTCCGCAGCCGTCGCCGCCTCTTGTCGGGGAAGCCGCGCAAGAGCCGGACGCGCAGAAGGCGAGCAAGTGGCGGGCAGGGGAGGAAAGAGGAGGAGCGGGGGGGGGGGTCCCCCTTTTTCTTTGCAAGAAACCCGGCCGGGGGTTAGGGGTGCGAGGGAGGGAGGGAGGGTGGGGACCCCGCCGACTAGCTCGCCCCGGCGCAGGGGGACCCGGGCACGGAGAGGGAAGGGAAGCGGTGCGCAAAGGAGGATTGGTTTCCAAGAGGCTAGAAGCGTGTGCGCTTATTTGGGAGAGGGGGGGGCAAGAAAGCGAGGTACCCAGGATTGAACATCTGGAAGAAGGGCTTCTGGGGAAGCTGGGGGTGGGTGGGGGGGCTGAATAGAGCCGGAAGGGACTTTGGAGGTCTTCTAGACCAACCCCCCCCCCCCCCGCTCAAGGTTTTTAATAAGAGATTGGGCACGCGCTTGTCTGGAATGGTAGAGGGGGAGACCCTCTTATCATGTCAGGCAAGTGGCTGTCCCATCTCTTCTTAAGAGCCTCCAGGGATGGAGCCCCCACAGCTTCTGGTGGCAAAGAGTTCCACTGGTTAATTGTTCTGACAATTAACAGGAAGTTTCTCGTTCATTCCAAGTTGCTTCTCTTTGGATTAGTTTCCAATCGTTGGTTCTTGTCCTGCCTTGAGGGGCTTCGGAGAATATTTTGACCCCCACTGTTCTTTGTGGCAGCCCCTCAACTATTGGAAGACGGCTATCAGGTCACCCCGAGGCCTTCTTTTCTCTAGACTGGCCAAACCCAAATCCTGCAACTGTTCTTCATATGTTTCAGTCTCCAGGCCTTGAGATCATCTTAATTGCTCTTCTCTGCACTTTTTCCAAAGTCTCAACATCTTTTTTTGTAATGGGGTGACTAAAACTGGACGCAAGTATTCCAGATGGGGCCTTACTAAGGCTTTATAAAGCGGTGCTAACACTTCACGTGTTTTTGATTGTGTGCCTCGGTTAATACAACCCAGGATTGTATTGGCCTTTGGGGCTGCTGCCGCACACAGCTGGCTGACCACATTAAGGGATTGTCTACTAGGATTCCAAGGTCCCCCTCACCGTCTTTGAGCCAGGTTTCGCCTCATCCGTACTGTACTTCTACCTTTGGGTTTTTTTTTCCTGCCCAGGTGTAAAACCTTCCTAGGGATCTAGCTAGGGATAGAGAGCATGCCTGCACACTGAATCATTTGTGCATTGCACATTGTTCCAAGAAATGGAGACGGTGTGACTATACCAGCAAGGAAAGAGGGGGGCGGGGAAGAGAGAGAGAGAAAGAGAGAGACAGAAAGAGAGAGAGAAAGAGAGAGAGAAAGAGAGAGAGAAAGAGAGAGAATAAGAGAGAGAGAGAGAGACAGAAAGAGAGAGAATAAGAGAGAGACAGAGACAGAAAGAAAGAGAATAA